GCCTAGGTGAACCATACGTTTCTGTAGAGGAAAACCTCATCTCTTTTTGCAGGTTAATGTGAAAGATACCAGGAAAACACAGCTATGAAACATAGGATCTTTGAAAAGGTCTTGGGCAAAGTAACTAGCAAGAATCCATTGACGACCTTAAAAATCCCACAGAGAGATGTAGCATTGCCATGGCTCAAACAGTGGAAAGAGACAGGCATGGTTGGTTTGCAAGAGACCAGCATCACCGTTCGCATTTAATTAATTGGTGAGCTAGGAAAGCACACGAACAATAAATGCTGAATACTAGAGAGAAGCTAGAAGAACTCCAGAGAGGCTCAGGAAATTTGCATGAGCAGACATACAGAATTAAAAAAGGAGAAGCACACCCAGGGAATGACAGAGCTCTGCTCACTTGGAGGCATGAGTTCATTAATTCACTGAAAACTATTTCCAATAATAATAAATAGTGAGAAAGGACAAAAAGAACTGGAGCTGCCTAGAGTGATCCTGGCCAAAACCTTTCTCTGGGAAGTATCAGCCAGAAAAAGAGTGAGTAAGAACAGTGTGGTCGTAGAAAATGATGCCCATCTGCGCYTTCCTCTCTGACAGACACCGAAGCCCAAAGCACCAAAAGGAAAGGGCCAGGTCTGGCTGGCTCCAAGAGGAGATGAGCAACAGTGGGAAGACATGGTTGCCTTCCCAAGACAGAGAAACTTGGGCATCGCTTCTTAGGGAGGGACAAAATGGAAGAGAACTGAAAGAATTAAATGCCAGCAAGTAAAAGCACAGTGGGAAGATGCTGTGGGGAGGAGGAAGGCTGCGGTGAACACGGAGTATTGACCCCACGAGGGGTCCATGCCCACGGTGGGTTTGCACAAGAACCACCATTTTGGGGCTGTTACCCCCTTCTCCCCACAGTGGTGCCCGAGGGTGCATGGAGGAGCCCTCSTGCCTGCGAAGAAGCTTTAACAAACCACCCTGTGAGAGGAGAATAAACCATCAGCTCAGAGAAGAGGAGTGTTGGCTGCGTCAGTACGATGCTGGAGAGCTGTTCAGAAGAAAATAGGATAACAAATAAACATGGTCTTATCAGGAGGGGACTAACCGCAGAAAGCTTTGAAAAAGAAACTGATGTCATTGCACAAAGATGATATTAAAAAAGAATTAAATGAGCAGAAAGCTGACAATCCTAGTCTTTCCCGTGAGTCCCTTAATGTTACGGGAAAGTATTATGGCTATTAGGCAGTGATTGATCTATTCAAAACATTCAGAAACRTTTTCTTTGCAGCATTTATTGCAAGGTCTAATAACCCCCCAATTTTTTCTATGTGCTAAAACCACTGCATAGATGACATCCAAGCCAAGGTACGCAAGGGCATCAGGAGGAGGTTTGCAGCATCTGAACTCCACTTGATTTACTTAAATTAATTACAGAGACCTTTTGTCACGGCAAAGCAGCACCACAAACAGCTTCGATCCTTTCTGGAGTCACCGTTCCCCGATGCAGACGTGTCCCAAGGAGACGTGTCCTGGGAAARGAGCATTTCCTGGGAATGCAGGGCCAAGGAATGGGCTTCCAGGCCCTGTCCCTTCCCTCTGCAGAGCCGCCAGCACAGCCGAGGGGCGAGGAGGAAGCCACGGCTGCCTAAATAATGAAGCGAGAGGCATCGAAAGCCACGCAYGCAACAGGAGGGGCTGCACTTCTAGACTACATAGGACCACAATAAATAAAGCATGAGGAAAAGCTGAATATTTTACCAGGTGTAACGATGTCTAGCCGAACAAAACGTCCTCTGCTTCCCGCTCCAAGAAGGAAAGAGCTGAGGACACCAGTAGCCTCTGTACATTTTTGGGCTCATTTTCACCTGGAATGGGGCATCTTGGCTTACAGCTGATCCCATCTTGGGGAGCCACATCCTTTTGATGCTGACAATGAAGCTACTTAACTTTCGAARCTTACTATTTTCCAAAGGCGCTGAAACCGGTGGCTCACGCAGCAGGCAGGGAAACCAGCTCCACAAGCTTCAGCCAACAACCGAATCCCTCCCGGGAGGGCCGAGACCCTGAGCAAACTCAGAGGTTTCCGAAGCTGCAAAGGAACAAGTTAAATCACTCACTTCGCTTTTCAGGCAGCTTCTCCACTGCCTTTGGGCTAAGGTTGGTATAGGGTTAATCCACAAAGCTAATCCACTTTGAGATTTTTTTCCAAAAAATAGAGGCATTCACAATATTTTTTAAAACAAAAGATGCTGTTCGCCAGTATTTCCACAGTATTTTCTAAATGTCAGTGGTCGGCATTTCCAGCAACACCAGATGTGCATGCACACACAGTCTCCCCAGCGAACTAAATTAAGTAATTAGGTAGTGGAAGGCACCCAATGCACTGCATGACTGGGGAAGGCTGTTGCATTAATGAAAATCAGGCCTTTGCAGCAGAGCATCATTTTAACTGCAAAAAAAGGCACGGCTCTGCTCAAGGTGTTCCTTCACAAGGAAATGAGAAGCAGCATTTTGCTACAAATGATGAACTAGAAGTTATTTCCCTRCACCAATTAAGTTGCTGAACTAGAAGCTACTGAGAAAATATCCTGATGTTACAGAATCCGAGTAACCTTCCACTGAAACYTAAAATTCTCCTGGGTTCATTTTTTTCCAGGAATTTCCTTCTACAGACTGGAAAGAGAATAAAAAAACCATCATCATCTTCAGGAGCGTCGCTTCACTGGACTCCTCTGCGAGCCGGTTCTCTGCACCTGACATTAGATTTGCCAAGGGACATTTGACAGGGCACTAGTGCCACCTACTGCACTCCGGGAAAATCGGAGGAAATACTTTTCCGGCCTTATACCTGCAAGAGAGAAACTAAACCCAGCGTATAGCGAGATTATTGAATACAGAAATCCTCAGGAAACTCTAAGCTCAACTTCTAAACCCAAACAGTGAGATTCAGCTGATTTTGTTCCCATTCTCTGCTCTGCATCCAGCTCAGACCCGGAGGAATCGGGAAGGTCCTTCCCATTCCCAACCTCCGCCTGGTCGGCACCTCCTTGCCGTGGATGACGTTGTCGCTTTCTCTGCCTTCACCTTTGGCTCTGTTCCCATGAGATTTCAACATTCTTCACTGTATTATAAAAACAACCACTTCTTTAGAGACAAAGAAGTCCATTCTGCGAGAAAGGTGTGTTCAAGGGAATAGGAACAAGAGCTCAGCCTCAGCACTAACACTGCAAATTGAAACAGTTCTTCAGGAYTGAAATCAAACAAAATGATCCCGTCACACTTTGCCCCTCTGAGCAGGTATAAAGCTCTCAAGGAGGATGTTTCCTTCACTTTTTCTCCTGTTTAAAAATAAAGAAAAGATTAAGAGACATTCTAAACCCTCGGTTATCTCATTAATAGTATAACCAGTAAGATTAACAGCAAGAATTAAACAACTTCATTATTATTTAATTGGCTTTAAAAATGTATTGCTTTAATATTTATAATTGTACTCTTAAGATGAATAACTGTGATTTGCCACCTCTCCCACCACAGACCATTTCTCACACTCACTCAATTTCCTCAGAACCACATGAACAGAGATGTAAAATGCTCCTTTCAAYATTTCTGAAGTAAAAGGAAAGACACAGTGCACATCCATGTGGTATTTCTTTTATTTCAAAAACAGGTTTCAGCTTAAATTGTACATGAACCACAAGCAATCCTGGAAGTACTCAGAATTGGCAACATTTACCAAGTGCCAGAGCTGAATTTATCGTGTTGATGCCAATGTGCCATTTGAACATGACTCTAAACTTAAGGTAGTGAGAAGGAACCACCACAGCACTGGAGAGACAAAAACCAAAAGTAGTAAGGAACAAAATTCCCACAGTCTGGTAGGAAAACATAATCCAAGGCTCTATCCTACCTAAAACAGCAGTGGCCTGGAAAGCCTCATGGATTCCATCAAACCCCGATTTGGAGATGACCCAGGCCCTCTTGAAAAAGGTCGTGTGAACTAAATCTTTGCTGCTGCCAAGTCCTCTCTGGGGATTTGGGACAAAATTCCTTCAGTCCGACCAAATCTCTTCCTACTGCCAAGATCCTTGTATAACTATTTGTAAAGCTCATCAACCAAAATATTATTTTCATCGCAGTAACTCTTCAGCCTTTATGGGTTAGTTATGTTAGTTATCAAATATTGACATTGCACTCAAGTTTGCTGAATTGGAAAGTGTTGGCAGGATATTTTGTCCCTGGATTAAGACTTCACAGCCTCTCACCCAGGTATTCAGGCTTCTGTCCTAACACAGCCTGAAAGGGAAACTCCGCATCAGCAAGGGGGATGCTCCTTCTACAAGGACTCAAGCATGTGCTTGCATTCATCCCAGCTTCAACAGCATCACCTGCAGTGCAGACACACAGATACCCAGACACATTTTCCTCAAAACTCAACAGATTTTTAAATGCCAGGTAATAGCCTTCAGTGCAAGATGACAGCATGATCCATGAACAATTCCCAAATAAATTAATCTGAATGTCAGTTTGGACAGCTGAACATCATGCTGTCATAGCAGAAAGAGACAGACATGACACCATACATTTAAGAGTACTTAAAATATTTGCCTCTAAAACCTGGCAAATGAGGATCAAAAATTCTACAACATATTTTGTCTTAAAAAATTCTTTATCAAATGTATCTGTGTGCAATTCATAATTAAATGCCTTCTTTATTTGGAATTATTTCTTTCAAACTCAGACACTTAAAAATCCCACAAGCTAAAAAAAAAAAAATAAAAGACATACACACACACACACGAACAAGTACAAGAAACTGCATTTCTCAAAGAAAGCATTTTTTTCATGTCAAGAAGTGCAATTTTGCTTCCATGATTCTTAAAGTAAAACAGTTTTACCATCAGTTATGCAATGCACTAAGCTAAAAACTGCACCAAATACATTAATAGATCCTGCGCGTCAGCTATATTCAACTTTTCCTATGCACTGCTTAAGGTCAGGAGAGATCTATATGGAAGCTGCACTTACAATAACTCATCTTTACCAGTGTAGGCAGGTCAGTAAATATATCTACAATCTGTGAAATTGCCTATGACTGTTAGAGAATGGAAGTCAATAATATCTACCATTATACCAGTGAAGTGTTTACATTTACTGTAACACTGTCTTGCTTTTGCATACAAACATAGGCTTTGCTTCAAGCCCCTGAAGCTGCGCATGATTATGATGCAAGCGTCAGGGGAACACATTGCCAAAAAATCTATAGCATAACACAGAACTCCTGCTTTTCATCTCATTGAACTTGATTTTTCCACACATCCTCCTGGTCCCATTTAAGACAACAGATCTACYCCTATTAAGACAACAGATCTACTCCTATTTATTTAGCTATCATAAGGATGCCAGCTCTATGGAGAAATTTTATAGAGAAATCAGCTTTGGCTTAATATTGTCTTTACTGAAGAGGTGAGCTATGCTACTGTCTTCAGAAAGATTTTCAGAAGGTTATTACTGAGATTAGGCTTTTAATGCTCCTAAGAGTAAAGCTCCTCATGAGTTCAATCCCTTCTGGCAGTGACGCAGGGCCAAGCACTACAGGATGGTGATGGGAAGGAACCAAGGGGCCACGTAACCTGACCACAAAAGATACACTGGCCAGGGCCTCTCAACAGTAAGCCAAGACCTTTGCAGGTTTTTACTTGCAGGTCTAGTACTATAGTATAAAAGCTCCTCGCTCTTAAAAAGAGGAGCTGAAGAACTCTGTGCCAGGACTAGTTTATTCTCACAGAGACTATACTGAGAAATAAATCTGTACTACTGCACCTTCTGGTATTTCTCCACCTTGCATAAAAGGTGCAAGTCATTACAAGATGAATATCTACCCTCAAATAAACATTACATGCAATGTGTGGACTATTTTTGTATGAAGCAGTAGTTCAGAATTGGGGATGCAAAAATACAGTACAGAAAAAAATACTGATAGCTTTTACATATGGAAAACTAAAATTAAAGGGAAGGAATATAGAGATACAGTACGGTGTTGTGAACTGGTTTGACAAGTTAAAAACAGATTGTTTCCCTCCTAGAGGTTTACATGTTTCACATCAGCATTTTGCTTTATGTTGTTACAATATTTATTTTGTAGCATTATTTAAAATAATTTTTCAGTCTAAAGTCTAACCTAGAACTCATCATGTTTTACCCTAAATGGCCACTTGGAATGCTGTGAAACATGATTTGCAGCCAGAAGCACCAAGTACATAAATTCTTCCACATCAAAGGAGTAGTTGGTAAATTTTGGATGTTCCCCCAGCGTTGGGTGGTGTCCCTAAAACAACAMAAAAACAACCAACAAAAAGGCATTAAAAGCATTTAGACAACAAAAATTCAGTACATYTTCCATAAAAAGGGGTGAGTTTTAAGTTATTATATCTTAACCATTGCTGTGCTCTGAGGCAAGAAAAGTAAAGAAATTGCACAAGGATGTAAGGGAGAGCTTCGATTAACAGCCTATTAATTTCATTTCTCTTCTTCTCTTGGCCACTAATATCCAAAGATTTCTTAATCTAACAAGGAAATTAATTTCAACTACAGACAAAAAATCATATTTCCAAGATCAGAACACAGGCAAAACAAGCTAAACTTTAAGCAAATRAAGCTATAATAGGAAAATCATCCCCACCCTTCCACCAGTGTGGCTATCATTACCTGATCTTGAGGGAATACTTTATTCTTTTTTTGCCAGGTGATGTAGTGAATGCCTCTTAGCCTTGCTAAATCCAGATAGCAACGTTCATCTTCACAGTTATACCTAGGGACAGGCAGAAGACCAAATTAACCCTAGAAATTACACTTGCCCCACCTCAGGGGTTTTAAGCAGAACCGCCCAAGATGGGGGGGATTCAGTCCTCTTCTGACAAATGTAAGACACTTTTGTTCAGTTCTATAGAACTAGAGTATCTATCAGTATCACTTCACGACAAAACACATTTAAATGACGCTCCTGGAGAAGCTTAGGTAAGGTAGAAAATGCTCAGCTGAGTTTGGCCGGGAAGCTGCTGCTTGTGTCCTGGCGACTATAGGAAAGAGGATATAAACAACCTTTTGGGAGAATGTTTTAACAGCCTAGACAAACATTTGTTGTAATCAATTCCTCTAGATCACCAGAGTACCATTAATAGAGATCGGTGCCCCCAAGCAGAACAAGTCTCTTTCTATCATCTTCCTCATGCAATTACTTGCCAGGCTGCCTCTTGCTTATACCATGACATAGTGGGAAACCAAAGGCCAAGGCTGCACGATAATCACATTTTGTATGTTATGATGAAAGCTGCCTTACTTACCCAAAAATGAAGCCTAGAGGAGGATGCTACAGAAATGTTCACAGTCAAACACCAGCAAAGGAGAGTACTTCATTGGCACACATGAACAGACACCAGCAGTTATGTTTATAATAAGGAGGGGAAGAGAGAAAAATCAGACTTACAATTCAAAGACAACAGCCCAGTCTGGGAGAAAAAGCAAATGGGTAAGTCCAGCTCCATGCATCCCAATGAATATATCAGAATTGTGTGTAATTCTCAATTGCTCTGAAAATTCAAGTTCCCTGTAGAATACACAATGCAGAGGGGTGATCTGGCATGCCTATCCATCTCAGCACAAATTAGTTACATGCAGAAAGCACAAAATTAACTTAAGGGAATTCTGAAAGAGGGAATTGATTTTTAAAGGAACCATACTAAAAAAATCAAAAATGCTGCAACCAGCAATAACTCAGCATGGAATTAAATGAGATGAAGACAGATTTCAGAACTTTGCATTAACAAGAGCTTGCTCCAAAARTTTGATTTTCTTTGGTTAAGTCATTTTATGTTTTTGTAAACCTYTTTTATTTGCTCTTTTTAAAAAATAGACATCCTTTAAAATACAAAGAAACCTAAAGCATTTTGAATTAATTGTAGAAATATAAAGTTCCCTCATAAAGGTGCAGATCCCCAACCTGAACTTATACACAGGGAATCAAGCAGAAATAAGGAGACTAGACTCCGTTTCAGCTCCCAAAACTTCTACAGTTGCAGCTTCTCCCTGTCACTTCTCTCCTACCCTTTAACTGCAAGTTCCACATCAAGTGTTTTTAAATCTAAAGGGGTTCCCTGATCACATGATGAAAGAAATGACTGAAAGTATTTAGTCATAAGTAGAAGAAAGTGAAATGGAATATTGCTGGCTGCAATCTTGGGAAAACCAGATCATAACAATAGTAACTTTCTGCCCACCTTGAAGAGAAAAAAGCTCAACCAGATCAAATTGCAACAAGGAAGCTTAGAGTGTTTAAGCTGCAGTAGGGACAGAGTCCCTGCTATGAGGACAGTGACGCACCAGGAGGGCTGGGGCAATCTCCAGTGCTGAACGATACTACAAATGGTTTGGACAAGCATCAATAATTGCAGAAATACCACAGCTCCTGCTTTCAAACAGTGGGATGGTCCTCTCATGAGCATCTAGCCTCTTTCCTAATGGCTGCTTAGGCAATATCTTAAGTGCTGGAAGCAGAAACAAAACTAAACAAACAAAACAAAAACCCACCCTATCTCAGCTTTGGACAATATTGAGCTTCAGCTCCCTGCTCTTCCTGCATCAGGGTCCACAACAGAGCCAGGGAGGGGGAAACTGCTGCTGTAGACACAGTCAAGTACCACTCAGGAGCTTTTTCCTTCAAACCTTTACTTATTGGCACAATGCCTACCTCAACTAGACATCATAAATTGATCTCAATGGTCTTYGGGGACGATTTGTCTTTAGGGACAAATAAGTTATGAATTATTATTCATTACTAAGCTAGTAGTCATAAAATAAGACAACACCATCACATAACAGAAATTCTCGTTGACCCACTGGAGAGCACTAGAAAATCCAAAAAGTGATGGGAACAAGCTGTGTCTGAGAGGGAGGAGGAAACACCCAAAAGAAAGAAATTTCAAAACTTGCTCACAGAGTACTTTTAACATGAGCATAGAAATTCATTCTTAAGTAACTAATCACTGGATAGGAATCCTTAACCCACTATTTCAGTAATATTCTTCCTTGCCTTGCATTTCGTAAGGGTTGAGTACTGAGATGCATGTAGCTTCATCTGCTAATGGCTCAGCATCAGCCACAGGCAGCATGAAACAGCACCAGTTTTCCTTACCAAAATACCTACTTGTACTTGTAGTCTACCACTTGGACCTCCAACCTCGATACTGTTTTCAAAGCATTCACGAGCTAAGGAGGAAAATAAAAAGGACTCTGATTTAATGTTTTGCTCCAATTGGTTCCTCCCCACACTCCCGATCATTTTACACACTCCCCTTCCTCACCAGGGCATAACACTGAGGAGAAAAGAACAGACTGTCACTGCCATATAAAGGAGCTATTTCTCCAGTCTCTCTATCCTAAACCCAGTATGGAGGATGACCTCTGGGTTAAACCTCTTTCCTAACACTGAGATCTTTTCAACATTTTCTATACCTTACTCCTGTCAGAGCAGTCACAGGAGATGGGGCTTGGTTCTCCTGCATCATCCCAGACCCTTACCTTTTACATGGTCCAAAGCCTAAACCTAAACCACCAAAAACTATCAGGAATTTTGCCAAACTGTAAAAGGAGCATTTGACATTTCAGTCTTGTTTTCAAAAAAAAWATTTCAATACCTAAAAAAACCAAATTGATAGCTAGAACAATTTTCAAGAACCCCTTACCAGGCCAGATTCCGACTCATGTGAGAAGCAAAACCAACACCCCTTGTGTGGGCTTCTACCAGAAAGGGCTTTTTGCAAGACTCCTATTCACAGCCGGCAGGAGAGGGAAAAGAAATCAAAGTGTTTTCCTCTACAAAAGTATTGTCAAGAGAAAATTAACTTCTCACTTCATGTCATGTGCTTATTATCCAAAAACACACTACATGTAGCAGTGCAGGCAGGCGCTGTGGACTGTCTGGCAGATAAGGCAGAGGACTGGTGATCTCGGCTCTATCTATTCTGCCACTGAACTACTGCATCAAATAAGTCTCAGTTTCCCTACATAAAATGGAAATAATAATATCTATCTGTTTTTTGTCAGGTACTAACAACTAGGAATGAAGAGAAGTATAAAAACATTAGATGTTATCATTTCATCACAAAGATAGCTTCATCGTGAGACCACCAAGTTGTATGATTTGAAAACGCGAATCAGCATGAAAATTCATTAAATTTTGAATGCTCGTCCTCAGATACAACTGCCTACGTATTTTGTTCTGCCAGCATGACAAAGCTTTTCATTAGAGCCTTCAACAATGGGGCTTCTAGAAATCAAAGAGAATAAYAGGAAAGCAAAATAATTTAATTTTATCAGAAGGTTCTACAATATCTTTTTGTTAAGAGGAAATACTTCCAGTATTAGATCTGTAGTCTGCCACCGAGTATCTACAAAAGGCAGCAAGGTTCAGTGCCTGGCGTACAGAAACACAGACTGCCCACACTTTCCACATGACATATTGGAAAAAATTTAGTACTGTACATATCCACTGAAAATTTGTCAGCGGACAGATRTCTTGGCAGTGCCCGAAAACCAATTCAATGAGCAAAATTCAGCTTCTGGTTAATTTACTTATTKTAAAAATATGAAGGACCACACCTCATGCTGGTTTAATATTTTCCGGTAATCTGTACTGCGTGCAAGTATCGTGACTCGAATTTTCCCATCCTAAAAAAGGAAAGAAACAGCAATAAATTAGCTGTGAGGCAGACCTTACTAAAAGAAAAAAAAACTCCCATGTTTATTTTAGCAATTATCTGAGCAACTAAGTATGTTCCCTCCCCATATAACAGATGATGTAACCACCTTAAAATTCACACTGGATTTCCCAACAGATTAAATTGTCAAAAACTTTGYGAAAGTTTTTGCTTTAACAAAGAATAGAATGTTTTCCAAATGATTTATTTTTATTCAGTACAAACGAGTCTTTGTATTACACATTATATGGCAGTTCTTGAAAGCAGGGAAGCTGCTTTCAGGATGGTTTGTGCACAAAATCCTTGGGAAAAAAAAAATTACCTCTACAGCAGTTCCTCCTTTTACCTCTTCAAATTAATTAGACTCATAGGGGTAAATGCTCCAAGTGAAATAAAAAGATTTAACTGCATGACTCCCATTAGTGCCAGCAGGAGAAGTGTAACTAAATGCCTGTGCAGCATGTGCCCCTCAGCGATAATATGCAAACTGCTCTCTAGCAAACACTTCAAGAGGCCCCAAACTGCTGCATCCATCAATGCATCCATCCATCGCAACAGTTTGCCAAAACCACCAGTGTTTACAACAAAGCAGCCCAGGCTCAGAGAGATTGCACCAGGAAGGGACTGGGAGGACCAGCTCCAATCATTCCCTTCTCTACCTGAGCCCAGCAGTAGCTAATGATGATTGGAAAAGAGGAGGAAGGCAGAGAGGAAGCCCACTGCTTTGTAGGATCCTCTCTCTTGCCTTCTTTAACGGCAGCAGGTTGCCAGCAGAGTCTAGAAGAGACAACATACKGTGTATCCAGCTTAACTAGAAAGAATCTAAAAGCCTTAGGAACACAGGAGGGGATGTGAAAGAGTAGCTCCCTAGGGTTCAAAGCAGAATGTCCTAATGTTTGTCCTACATAGATTACATGTGGGGTCAGCTTTTACAAACATATGTAAAATCTGCTGAAGGTCTTTATGGAACTGATGGGCTTACTGGAAGAAAGTCTTTAGTGCCCTAGTGAAGGACAAGAAATGTAATATTTGCTCTGATTTCCCACTGCATCCAGTTAGTTGCAGTTTCTTTTTATCCAGGTAAGAACTGCAAGCTCCACACTACAGTTTATCTTTCTTTTACTATACCTTAGGTCCTTCTTGTGTGATATTTAATCTGTGTAACACATGCTGAGAAAATGCTCTAAATAGTCCTGTACCGTGACAGCCAGAGATCTGAAATTAGAAAAAGCAATTAACAATATAAAAGTTATTTTGCTCAGCAAACCTCACTTTGTCATCAGTTTCTTATCATTCTTGCAGAACAAAAACCCACTGTCATGCACTGCATTGAGCACATCACCGTTCACTGCAACACAAGCAGCACTTTCATTTGGAAGGAAATATGACTCACTCTGTAGTGTTACAGCCTGAATGCACAAGCTAACTCCCTAGGAATGAAAGCTTTTGCACAAAGGTAGTGTCTAGCAGCAAAAACACTCACAAAACTTCTTACTGACACCAGAATGGGCTGTTCTGCCTTTCAAGAGGCTGCCTTCCATCCCCCCAAACCATAATCCTAAACTCAGGCTTCCCAACTTCTCTTCTGAGCAGTCTGACTTCTCCAAGCCTGGGCTCCCTCCCTTGCCAGACTTGGATCACACATCCTCAGCCAGGAGACCCTGCTCCATCAGTTCCAGGGAAATGCCACAAAGGAAGCAAATTAAGGAATTATGGTCAAGTTATCACATGAATGCAGGGCAGTAATCACCCACATTCAGAACTTATTCTCCATAGAATATGCAAAGTGACAGCCCCAAGATAAAAGCCCACATAAAAGCTGCTTCCTTGGCTTCCAGCAACACTGCCAATTTACAATCTTTTGTGCTCTGCAAGTATACCAGTAAATTCTCACTACYTCCCATTAAAGAGGAATAATCTGTGTCTCATGAACTGCAAAGTAGAAGCCTGCACACAAGCATTTACCACCAACCAGTTTAAGTACAATGATCAAGCACCCTTTGAAATCCTAATCCCTAAAATCATTTCATTTGGAGTTGCACAGTGCTTCAATACAGAATATTTCACAATAATTCACCTAAATGCTTGGGAGAAGCATTAGTTAAGATTTTATACTGTCACATACACATCCCTAGTGAACACACCRCATGGATAAAGAGCACTCACCAAGGGGGTGTTGTAGAACAAGCCATATCGCATCCGAGGCAGTAATGAGAAGACTGCTTCTTTAAAGCACACCTGCAAAGATCACAAGGAGTTACACTGCACTGCTACCTTCTCACATCCCCTGCTCATTCCTTGCAATCACTGCTTATAATGAGGTAGCAATTAGGTGCTGCTGTCAAGAACATCCTCACTTCCCTACCAACTGTGCAAATGAAGGGAACAAAGACAATTCCGGTCCCAAAAGAGTTCTCAAGATGCTACATAGACAAAAGAGGAAAGTGGGGACACCAAAAGAAACAGCAGAGCCGACATTCCTAAGTAGAAGAAAATCAAGTAAATAGTAGAGAGCATTTAAGAGAGAGTTTAAAGGATTTAAGTGAGCTCTGAATGAACGCATACATTTTATTAACAATATTAACATGTATAGGGGAAGTGATATACCTCCCTCAGAAATAGGTAATTTAGAATAATACCATCTGAAAACCCTTAGCTTCAGAGGGTGCTGCCAAAGTGAAATGAATACATAAATACCACCTCCCAGAACATACAAAAGTTTTTCTATCTACATAAAGTGCAGGCAAACCAGGGAAACAGGCAACTGCAGCTACTGCTTCGTGTCTCTGGTTTGTAARACAACATACAAATATCACACACACTAAACATGCATTTAAAATCTGAACGCCTTCCTCTGGAACACTCATATCTAAAAGTGGCTCAAGAAGCAGTCACATTTACTAGGTAGTCTCTAAAGCAAAATATATAATTCCATACCCTTTTAGAGTCAAAAGTTTTCAAATGTATTATTTCATGGTCAGTAAATGCCTTCCATGTCTCACTGAACAAGTCACCGTATCCATATGAGCTCTAGGAGAGGAAAAAAAATGTGCATAATGATTACAGAAGTGCATATAGAAGTTTTTCTAATTATTTACAAGCCTGTAGGACTTTTAACACACATCTTATATGCACATCACCACACCAGCCTTAAAACTGCCTTCCACAGGAGGCAGACAATACAGAATGTCTAACCTACTGTTTACAAGGGTGGTTWACTCAAATTACTTGGTATGTAATTAGTTTTCAAGAAAACAGTTCTACAGCAGCAAATTACAGTCTGAGAGCTTGGGAGCAAGGAGTACCTCCTACTTGTGTTAGAAACAACAGAACATAAGTTAAATTTGAAGTAACCAAAACGTGAAGAGGGGAGAATGCATGAACACAAACTCCTGAAACTAATAACCACCTGGGCACCCAAGTGCAGCAGTAGGGTTTAAAAATAAAAACTCAGAATCGGCCTGTTTCATGTTTGCCTCTATTTTGGGATACTTACTCGCATATAACATGCATCACAGACTGAAGATAAATTTCCCTGTTAATTCTTTCATCAGATCGTTATGTTTGGTATTACTTGAAGTTTCTCTGAAGGACATAATATGAAAATCCCCTATAGCAGCAAGCAGCTGTGGAACCTTTTGGCTTTTCAATCATTCTTGCCTTCAGGGCCATAACAGTTCCTGCACTTTGAGGGCTAAAGAGTCACCACATCTTATTCTATGAATGACTTCACTAACTCCAGTGCAGATTTCTGCTTAAAGGTTCCTTTCAGCTTGGATCTGCATCATCCTTCTTGAAAAATTACATGGAAATGTTTWAAAAAAAAAAAATACAGCTCTAAATGACCACAGAAGAGAGCAGGCAGGTAATGAATCTAAAAGAATCTAAAGGTTGCCAGATTTCCTAAAATGAAGTGGTGCTTTCTCCTCCTCTTCTTCCATTAAGTTTTAAAGAATTTCACAATCCATACTACTTTCTGGCAACCTGCATTATGAGACCTGCTCTTCTAGATTAGAAGTAGAGAGCTGATCTTCAAAGCTGGAAGTACTGCTCTCTAACCCTGTCTCCTCTCCTTAAAAGTGCTTTATAAACATTATTTTCTTTCATTCACAGAGGCAATCTGCAAATCAACGCCCAGTGGATTTCCTACTCATTTTCTGCTTTGTTTAACCTACATCTGAGGGCATTACTGTTTAATAAGAACAGTGCACCAATTTTACAGTAGCTAGAGAATATGCCCAAATCCAATTACATCAGAAGAAAAAAAAAAAGAAAAAAAAAAGAGAGAACAAATAATAAATTCAAGTCTGTCTTTGATAACTGCAGAGATAGCTTATCAGCAGTTACTTGGTGCCATCATCTGGCTGTACATGGTAACAAATTTAAGCAGAAGGAGCAGAAACATTTAAAGCTGCAGAATTATAGTACTCCTGATTGCAACACTTGMTAGAGTTATTTACTTCAATGATGTCATACAAGGAGTTACTTTTCAAAGTAATTTACAATGATATTTAACACATGTTCTTTTCAGAAAGCCATCAGAGCTGGATTAACAGGTCATTACATAACATCTGGGAGCTGGTTTATCTGGCAAGAGATTTATTTCAGCTTTCAAAATACAGGGGAAGTAGAAAAAACGTTTTCTTCTAGCCATAGGGTTGGTTTCTCATTAAATAGCAAGGACTGAATATTGGCACTTCCCTGGTAAATATTAGCTGTTGGAGTAGGGAAAACGCAAAGTATTGCAAAGCAAATTACAGAGCAAAATAATAGGCAGACTAGGGACAACAGCATAGTAAAAGGTATGTTAGTTTTGGACTGGGTTTTAAGTTTTACATGACACACTCAAACGGTTAAAATCAGCAGCCCACCGGAAAATTGAAATTGCATATTAAAAGCTTTGAGGTCTCTATAAATTTGAACTATAGCACATTACAAAGTATGACAAATGCCCTACAGACTTACTGTATCCCACATGACTATGTTGACATCAGTACTGAAAGAATTATTGATATGCTGCGTAATATAAAGATTGACAAAGTCACAGAAGTGATGGTACATATTGACACCTGAGAAAGAGAAAGAATTGTTAGCAAGATATTCATTCACTCATTCATTCACCCATTAGTCACTCCATTTATTCCACTCTAAGCATTTTTCTTTATCAGTGAATAAATTCTGGCTGCATATAAACATACACTTATAAAAATATAGCATATATTTATATGAACATAAATACATATTTGTATAAATAAAGTCTGCATTTCCCTTGCTTCTGAAAGTTTCCCATATGTTCCAGAAAACCAGCCCTTTAAAAAGGAGGGCATCCAGATAAGAAATCTGAATTAAAGCACATTTCAAGAAAATTCAGTGAAATCAGTGGCCATAAAGGTACTGGGAAAAAAAATAAAAATTTTACTTGCCACTTCTCATTAGAGTGTGCAACTGCTTTCTGGAGTGTTTGAAAGTAACTGCTGCACTAACAGTAGCTACTTAAGACATACAGGAAACATCAAAAAGGCCTTTGGCAGTGCTCTTCATTTTGTTTTGTTTTTGTAAGTGCTCAGAGAAACTCTGTCTGAGACACTTCAAGACAGAACTTGTACTTACACTCAAGCAAAAGCCCAAGTAACTCATCAGGTTCTCTCTCAGAGCACTCTTGCTGATTCCTGGTGTCTTAAGTTAATACCAGAGATTAGGGCACAAAAAAAGCTATGATGACTAAAGGAAGTACAGGAATCCGGTTTCTTTGCTAGTGCAGACTTGACATTAGCGTCTAAACTTCCCCTGAACAGCAATTTCCTTCCCTCCACTAAAACAAAGGAGATGTAGGGCGACAGTTTTGTCTCCTGGGACACGGCTACTACCCTGCTCAAAGGTACGAGTTGACAGCAGGGCAAAATGCTCAGGTACTAGCCTTGCTTCAAGCACAAGACACTGGCCCACAGGGGAAGAGGGATAATCCAGCTGCAATGTGCCATACAGTCAAAATAGAGCAAACATCCAGTTTAAACCATAGCTAAGCCCACCACAGCTTGTTTTTAATGTCTACATTCTGAAAATTCTTTTGCTAGGATTTGGCTTTAAAACACACCACATGAGCAAAAAGGCTGATGAATGTCAAATAACACAGGATGCTTCATCTTCCTATAGACCTTTTGGTGCCACCTCTCACATGAATACTGTATAAGTGGTATACTGTAGCCTAGCAATCACCACAACTTTCTGTACTAAAATAAGTCTTCCTGCATTGACTTTTCACCTGAGCTTGAAGCTCTATGATTAAAATAGTGTTATCAGGTTTTATAATCTACTAACATTTTGTCTTTGAACAACATTTCCTCTTTCATATCATTCAATACATGTAGAAACATCATTTACCTAATACGCATTGCAAGACATGTGTATGCACATACCTAGTGTTTATGCAACAGACATGAAAACTGAAAACTACCACCCAGAAGCAGAGCCAAAAATTCTGTACAGAACCGTCTTTGACTTTGTGCCAAAGACTCTTGTCAAAACATAGTCAAGAGTCAAAGACTCTGTGCAGACATGTGGCAGGAAATTTCTCTGATTTTAAGTATCTGTGAGAAAACGTAAGGTTTTCAAATTAAATTTGTGAGATTATTAATAGAACTATAGAAAAACAGGAATAGAGCTGGCACACCTTTTTTCAAAAGAAAAAATACAAGGAAATCTCACATAGCACAAAGGTATAACATAGCTGAGTATGATGGATATGGGCTCTCTTCAATGCAGTATTACAGGACAAGTCTACACTGAAAACACCAGTTACCTGCATCTAATTTCATGAAGTATGTTGGTTTCTCAATAATGATATCACATTTGCCATCTTCTAGGGGCCTGAAGTTTAATGGGGTAAACGTCTGGAGTTCTGCAAACCTAGGAATATTCAACCACAAAGAAGATGCTTTGTCATTAACATACTTAAGACCACGTACCTCATATCTAAGAAGTAACAAATGTTCATCCAGTGCATTTGATTTAACMAGGTTGCCGAAGTCTGATAAAGTCTGACAACTAAAATTGTTTGTAATTGTAATGGAAAGTTCTCAGGTTATGAGCTCCAAGAGGTTAAACATAGCCTTTGATCTCAGCAGGAAAGAGCATCTTTGATCTACAAATCAAAGTAGTTGAGATGTAACAAAGAGCCTTAGAGCTTAGATCTGTGGGTCTATCCAAACTGATCTGCATTGCCAGAGATACTTCAGCAAGATCTTCATGTTTTGGTCAGAATACTGAGTTCAAATGTGATATTTATTATACCTGGAACTAAGCAGAGATGAGCATCTGAAAGGACAATTACAAGTAGGGAAGAAATAAGTCTTGTCTTCCACTGAAGTTATTCTTAACTTAAAGAGACCATCTATGCAAAATGAGAAGAATAATTGGAATCAAGAGAAAAGTATGAAAGGGAAGGGAAAAAAAAAAAGACTTCATATAGGAAACTTCATGGTCCCAGTTCCTTCATGCTTCATCAGTTAACTGGCAATACTACTTGGAAGTACCAACATTCAACCCTGAGAGGACACCAACCACCACAAAGCAACCTCTGCTGTTCCTGCTCAGCCTGTAGATTGCTGCCTGCTCCATACCCCGAATGGGCTCCCCTGGCAGGGTGTATGAATGTGCAGAGCAGGCTCTGCACTGGCCCCAACACCACAAGGATGGGGTCCACCAGGGCACAAACACCAACTTCCAGGCATTTAATGACAAAGGGATCATCTCAGTTCGCAGGCACAGAGTCAACATTGTCTCCAGAAAACATTTGCATGTTAGACCTTCAGGTTAAAAGACACATTCAAAACTTCGGCTGCTCTAAATTAGTCAAGATGACACAATTACACTCAGTACAGTTCAGAACAACACTCCGAACAGAAGTAATTACTAGCGGAATCTGTTATGAACTCTTAAATTGGCTTTAGAAAGGAGCAACTATGTCCTCATTATGAAATACCCAACATAGACTGCTAATGCCAAGAGAAGGAAAAAAAGAAAAAAAGAAAAAAAAAAAAAAAATCCACCCCCCACCACACACACACCCAAACTAAAAGAACTTGGAAGCAGCCAAGCAGCCACAACAAGTGACTCTTACCAAGACTGCAGAGGGCTCTTGCGTTGACCTTCAGCCAAAAATGCTTGAACATCAAGGGTGCAATGACCTCCAATTTCTCCTTTCTGGAAAAAGTCTTCTTTGAATCTAATGCAAATCAATAAAAACTTATCAGATTTTGTGCAGTAGTATTGGAAGTGCTTAGCAATCCAGATTACAGACTCAAACCAGTGCTATCTTGTCTTAATTCCGCAAAATACTTCAAGCATACTTAAAATCTGAGCATTCTCTTCAGCATAATTGCAACATTTTCCACCACTTTCCAAATAAAGATAATGGTGCCCTCAGAGTTTGAAATATTAAGCAAGAAGATAACATTACTCCGCCAGAACATTTTAAGWACCRTTTTCATGTATGCAAATGAATAATTCAATGAGATTTTGCTTCATAATTACTTACAGGAGTATCTATTTTTTTTCAACAACTATTTCAACCTTGGATTTTATAATCCATTTAGTCATCTAATAATTATATAAATGCTGRAAGAATAAGGTCTAAGAACAGATTTCAGAAAGTTTAACAACCAAAGGTGTTGTCTAAATTAGCTCTTAGGATATACTGAGGAGATGACAACYCATTCTGAGGGGTCTGAGGGGTCATGACTGCTGTTACAGTTGTGAAACAGCTTTTTCAAGTCAGATTCCCTGGCATTAACTTTAAAAATAAGGCAAAAGGAAAGCAGGACGATGCCATCCCTTCTTCAGCCAGTAGTCCAATGCATAGCATTTTAATCTGGGATACAAGAGATCCAAATTTAGAGTCTTCTTCAGACTTACTGTACCTGAGAATGCAATTCCTGTTTCCTGTATCAAGGCACACTAATCAGCCCACTAAAACCTATCAGAGAGAAGGCCTTCTTAGTAATTCCTACCTAAAAAAAAAACCCACTATTTTGTCATTCATGTCATTCTGCTTTGCATGTCACTTGACCAATGAAGGATATCTCTGAAGATACAGAAAATCTACCTCTCTAGTTTCTACCCAGAAGAGGGAAGAATCACTGCAAGAAACTTATAGCTTAGCATGCCAAGAACCTAAAAACCCAGCAGTGCTGCAAGAGGCAACCAGCAGTCATCAGAAAAGAAGATTTTCATAGCACTTCAGTGATGAGCCTTTGATCAACTGCATATCCCACAGCACAAAGCACAGCAGCTGTACGTCCAGATTTGTCAAACAAATTTGGAAATGTTTCTCCTTGCCATATTTTGATTTTACTGTAACATAAGCAAATCAGAGACCTGTCATGGTTTCTCTTTGCAGTTCTTAGGTCAATGTACAAGTTTGTTGCTCTGCAGTGCTGAAGGTACTGAGAACAGGTCAGAGATGAATCTYCCTGTTAACAGAAGAGCAAGCAGGACTTGATCAATAACAAGAATGATATTTAGAAGCAAGTAAGAGCTATATGAACTATCAAAAACACCCACCGTTGTTGCAGGCTTGCAATGGGTTTTCATTTCATTCAGCCTCTCTCGAACGTAACCAAAGTCAGCTTGTTTCCAGAATATCTGTTGAGCTGTCTCAATGTCACTTGCCCTGAAATATGAAGAGAAGAAAATTGAGGGCTTTTGCTGAKTTCTAGTAATAACTTAAACAGATAATATTTTTGTTCCACTAGAAGTGGAACAAGAAAGCCGGCCAGTTACTTTATTGGCATTTTGCATGCAAAACAGGAAGCAACTTATCAGCTGCATGTAAGTAAAGACTCCGATGATAGTTTAAAATTCTCCCCTAAAAGGGTATAAAAATCTTTTCTAACATTTTCTCCTCTGTTTTCAAAGCTAAGAAAGGAACTCTGGAGTTATTTTAGGAGTCTGAATTCAAGACTACATCAGAATAAAGAAAACACTGTAGCCTGAGGCATTTCATACAGTACTTTTTATAATGTTTAAAGAAATATGCATGCACAAGCACACATATATGCACATAACACCACGAAGAATCATAACTGTCCTTTAGACTCCAAATATCACTATAATGGTAACTGCAAAACTAATAGAAAAGTGAGCATATACATTTTATGACCTACTGTACATTATACATTTTAGATGGAACTTACCATCCAGTTTCAACATAATCACACACTGGGTAACTGAACCTGTAATCCGATTTGCACGTCTTCTCATAACCCCAGCAGGATTTTAGTTTCTTCAAGTATTTCTGTAACACAGAATTCATTGAGTATGCCTCATGAACAGGTTATGCTGCAGTAAAATTTAAAATTACTTCAGTTAATTGTTAGCTTATACGCTACATTTTGGTAAAATACATTGAATAAAAGGCTTTCCTTTTGGGGTATTTTAAATTCAAGCCTTCTTTCTGCAAYGATTTGGTTAGGCATGGGCATATATCCAAAATAGGACATATATACACAGAAATATTATTCTTGTCTTGAATATATTTTCCTCAATTTTCCTGACTCAGTGTGCAGCATCCCAAAATTTTTACAGTGGCGAGAGCTGCAGGTAATGAATAAACCTTAGAGGCAGCACAGTGCACAAGGCAAAATCATTTCCCTTATTTGCCCCTACTCTTGGTGCTTGACCAAAGATGCTGCAGCACCCCAAGAGCCACAGGCCTAGAAATTACTAACTATACTTAGATCAAATATCTTCCACACGTGCAAGAGTGCCGTTCAGATTAACATGATCACTTCAGCTCTGTAGTAATTAAAGGCAAAAAAAGAAAAAGCTTGCAAAAGCTTGCATTGTTTCATAAATCTAGCTCGTTATTCATAAAAAAAGAAAAAAAAATCTGGCAATGTCAGATGCAGAAAAGGGTCCAATATAGCCCTTTCAAGAGCAACTGCTCCAGGTCCCAACGAAATCAATGCACTGGCAAGGAGACCAGCTCATTACCATCTTTAATTATTAAGACTCCAAGTACAAACCACCCCCAAATTACTTTTGAACAAAACCATTAAAAAGCCAAACCAAAAAGCAGACCTACTTTGTAYGGGCACAGAGGGTCCTGCTGGCAGGTGCTGGCAACGTGCTGGTTGTTGTGCAGAAAGTAGGGAACGTGCTCCTCTGGCAACTTGATGGTTTCGTAGCTGTACAACGGCTCCTCCACGACRTTTTTGATTCGGGCAAGGTTTTCATCTTGGGAATTAGCCAGGATTTCTCKCAGTAGCAATCCAAAAGCCAGCAGCATGAACATGGCAACCTACAAATTCTGTAGTAATTTAAAAAAAGAGAAAGAAAGAAAAAAGAAAAAGCTTAGCATATATACRATGTAGCACATTTCAAGCATACAAGGTAACATTCAGTCGAATTAAGTCACGTACTCAAAGAACTCACATCCGATTTTTATTTTTCCCAGTGCAGAATAAACTTCCGCCGGGAGAGCGGCCTCAGGAATACCCGCGGGCCGTTAGYCCCGGCGGGAATTACGCACTGCCAGCTCGCGGCCAGGCCCGCAAGGGTGTGTTTACTTTAACTGGATCCCACGGGATGCCTGGGAGTTTATATCTGGAAGCCAAGTAGCCAGTATAAAACAGGCGGAGGGCAGGAAGAATGCTTAAAAGTATTCGGCCGGGAGGGAATCAGAAGTATTTTTAAAGTATTCGACTGGGAAAGAGTAAGAAATTCGGCTTTATATAGAGACACATGTGCGTGTGTGCATGCATTTTAATTTATATTATGTCATATAACATATAAATGTTATCATATAAAACATGCACACGCATATAAAAAGGCAGATAAGAAGAAAAGCTTCTTCAGAGGAAATTCGGAAGAAATTAACCATTAGTTGAGGAGAAAAATAGGCAATTGTGAATAAAGAGCCAAAGCGAGATGCGGGGAAGCGTCAGTAGCGAGCAGGGCGTTAAAGAAAAGTTTTGACCATAGAGTTACATGCAGTAAGTCAGCTATATGTATCTCTGTATTTGCTAATATATATGTATACGCACACATATGTATAAATACATGGACCATAGAAGAACACATAAGCACCATATATAGATAAATGCCCGTACGCAGTAAATGTAGCCAACCTAGAGCGCCCGTCCCCACGCGCACACAGACGCACCCGCCCAGCACCCTATAGACTTCCACGCAGCCCGTATAGAGTGCGCGGCGCAGCCCCCCGCCGCCCTGCGGCCCTACCTGCGCGGCGGCACCTGCCGGGCCGGGCCGGGCCGGGCCGGGCCGGGCGGCTCCGCGGGCGGGCAGGGCGGTCCCGGCGCCGCCGCCTCAGAGGCGCAGGCCGCGGGGCGCCCGGCCGCGCATGGCAGCGGCGGCGGCCGTTAGAGGGGCGGCGCGCGCCGGCTCCTCGCGCCTGAGGCGGCCGCGCCGGGAAGAAGGAGGGAGGGAAGGAGAGAGGGCGGCGCCGCGGCCACCTGGAGGCGGCGGGACCCGCAGCAGGAGGCGGCGGCGGCCGGAAGCCCCGCGGCGCGGACGGAGCGGGGCGGCCGCGGCTCCCGGCGCCTCTTCCTCCCGCCGCCCTGAGGAGGAGGCGGCGGCGGCGGTGCCAGGATGCGCGCGGGGAAAAAACAGCGGAAAAGGCAAATCGCGGCCTTTTCCTCCCGGCGCCGGCAGGAAGCGGCGCCGCTTAGCGCCATTGTCCGCCTTCCTCGGCGCCCCGCGACCGGGAGATGAGGATTTCCAGGCGAGGAATCCCGGCCGCCCTCAGGAAAGCCGCGGGGGAGCCAGCCCATGGAACTGAGCACCCACCACCCGCAAAACACCCAKTTTTTAACAGAATTTAACTTCAGTTAAATTTAAATTCAGTTCAATTCTAAGGGTATTGATACATCCACACGCCCTTCCGAGCACGGCAGTGCTAAGYTCACGCCTCCCCACACAAACACAGCAAAACACCCTCCAACGATCTCCAAAGCCGTGTTAAAGCAAAGCCAGCACACACTGTTAGCATAAAATTTTATTTTACCCAGACCCATGCTTTATACAGTTTATACACATTTTACAACTAGAAACACCAAGGGTTCCATTTGCACTGTGCAATAATCCATTATCTTTAATATCCAACTAGTTAAAGCCCTTAGCAAAACATACATACACAAATTGTAACAAACCTATCTAATAAGACAAAAAAAATTAATAAAAACTATTCCTTTCATGTGCAGGTATGTGCGATTTTGAACTTTGGCTCCTCATTAAGGAGCCAGCCCAAAGAAGTGAACGTGCACGTAGTCCAACTCCTCCAAAATTCATCAACATTAACGGCAGGTTTTCCATCTTCCCTAGACTACAGAATATGCCTCATTTGAGCTTCATACTTGGAAGAAGCCTTAAAATGAAAATTCCTCCTATTTGCATATGCAGTGAAAATCGTGTATAAATTAGGTGCTTGAATGAGGGAGGATTTTAAAATAATAAATCTAAACAGAAGCGTGCATCACTTTTCTGAGTTAAATCCTTCCCCTTCAGCACATACTGCTTTTCCAGGCCATTTCCATAATGGGAAAGAACTTAAGGTGTGCTGGCAGATGTTAACGCTAATGTTTCTTCAAAATAAGCATACCAGAAGTATAACAAAATACAATCAAAATAGACAATAATTAGAAGTCTAGGCTACTTTCCAATAGCTATTTTGTTTTCTAAGGCTTTGATGATTAAGATGTATTAAGCCACTTGATTCTGATGCACTAGTAAAAAGGCTGCACTGAAAGGGATTAAAGAATCCAAAAATAGTCAATTTATATATTTACATCTACTTCTTCAGTATTTAAAAATCTAATATATCTGAGAAGTGCTTATATATCTAAAACAGTTAATGCTGACAGCACATTAAAATTTCTAATTTCTAATCTTCCTGAAAACCAAATACATTTGCAGAAATCAAAAACTGTACCTCTATCAGCCTTTCAAAAAGTGCTTACAGATACATTACATGTGAAACATTACCTTCAGAAACCAGTGGTAGTATTAAAATTAAATAAAAGTTAAATCTTTAATTTTTGAAGCCTTTTTTCCAAGATTGTGAAAAAAAAATACAAACCAACAAAACAAAAACCCCACAAAAACTCAAGGTGAACAGCAATTTATTGACTCACTGCAATAGAAAACTGCTTWAAAATATTTCTTTTTAAACTATTTAGCACCCTAAACTTTAACCTTCTTGAAAAGTTCCTTTATGAAAAATGAATTTYTAACACCTACATGTGTTTAATTAAATCTAGCCTGATTTAATTAAGCTCCAACAAGTGGAACTTACTTTGATTTGCATGTATGTTTTAAACTTAAAGCAACCAAGAAAATTTCAACATGAAAGGGTTAATTTTTAGTCTTTGAGAAGAAAAAAAGTTTCAACTTAGTTTCCAAAATGAAACTAAAATTCTTTCCTGTCTTCCAAGAGAAAAAAAAAAAAAAAGGAAAAAAGCCTGTATTTTAATATTTTAATAAAGCAATTAAAATTTCTAATACAGACTAGAAGTTAAGACTATTTTTAGTGTTCTTCTGTTGCTTTATTGACATACTCAGAGTATCTGTCTGAATCTGACATTGCCTGTGAAACTCCAGACATTAACCGTTCTCACAAGCAGAGAGAAATCCCTCACGCACACAGAAACATGGTATTAGGTTTTTCTGTTCACATTCTTCATCTTTCTCCATCTGCTGAACACCCAGCTAGTAACAGAGTTCTCTAACACAGACTACAACGCACACAAATGCAAAAGAAAYCTCTCTCAACAGAGATAATGATATGATAAGCAAAGAATTTCAACTGCAGAATATTTCACAAGTTTACCAGTCTACCGCTGCTAAAATTCCGAGACGTGGTGAAATCTTTGCTGCCTGGAATGCTGAGGGGAAGAAGCAAGCTGCTTCCTCTGATTCTCAGCATTCCCAAGGGTTCAATTCAAAAGCTTCCTCTAACATGACCCAAAATGTAGCTGAATGTCAAGCTATGTGGATGATCTTTGATCAATACCTTACTTGAAGAATGGCATGAGAAATACTCAGCAGCCACTGGAGATCAGTTTGAGAGCTATATTAAGTCTGAGTACATTTTTCAGAAGTCTAAATYTTGTTCTTCACAAGGGACAGCTTACTGGACAGCAGCAGCAATTATTTAATTTCCAAAAAAAAAATCCATTTTCTGCGTTCTTTTCAGCTACTGCTTTAACTACTCTATCTGACCCCAGAACAAACATAGAAGAGCTTAGATTTCTGCTGTTAAAAAGTTAAACACATTTAGCGTTACAAGCAGACTTGCTGTTTCTAGACAACTCCTGAGACACAGTATGCAAGATGAAGCTGTAATTATGAAGTTTCAGCTCACAGTCTCACATTGCTTCAAGGACCTGGTGTAAAACAGTTGTTATACTAATGTAAGTTGCTGTAAGAATAGAGAATCATCATCCTAATACATTCAAGAATTTGAAAGCACAAATCTGAGATTCTCCCTTCATAGAAAAACCTACTGCTTAGGCTTCAAACAGAAAGCTACTGCTATTTTCTGTTACTGAAAACTATTTGATGAGATTTTTAGAAAAAAAATATATTCAGAACATTTTTAAAAACTTTTGATATCATTTTTATGAATAAGAGATTATGAATCAAGGGCTGCTTTAGTAAAACTCATACCTTCTACTGCTGTCTCATATGTAACACTCAACCATCCACTCTGCTGCTGTTTACAAGTAAAATGGTCCACTATTTAGTAAGAACTTAAATAACTGGATGACTTTAAAAGAAGTTTTAAATATTGCACAAATAATTTAACCGCAGACAGTACAAGACACTGTAAAGCACTGATTTTTGTCAACATATGAACTCTATAATATAGTCACATTTTCTATAATACAATCATCTTTACAAGATATTTAAATTCAGCATTTACATAAACAACTATTTTTACAGTTTATCATATAATAAAGTTAAATGAGTTCCAGCAGGGGCTAATTTTGTCTTTGTTTTAAAAGTTCATCTATCTGAGTCTTGTACATGTTTTTCACATCTTCAAGATCTAGTCGGAGTTCTTCAGCCTCCTCTGCTTTCTCTCCATACATCTGAAGAATTGTGTTGTACCTTTGATCCAAATCCTGCAACAACATGCAGTCTGTTATTTGATTGTTATTTTCAACTTAGGACAGCATATTACACCACCAAGGAAAATAAGTAGAGCATATTAAAGTAAAATGTTCCATAAGAAAACACACAAAAATTCTAAAAAGCCTTTATGCTTTGACTCTCTGAATGGCTAATTTATGAACTCGCTATAACAGGAAGAGACCCCAAAAGCAAAGATCCTTGAAACCAGTGCTCCCTTCAAAGGGGCTGCTGAAGTGCCTTGGAGTTCAACTGCTACAGCCATTAAGAAATGTGTTCGCAAATTGCACACAGTTTTATRACAGGAAGAAATGCAGTTTGTGAAATGTTGCACTCGGATGTTTTACACTCTGTATTTATAGAACAATAATTTCCAAAATTATTTCCAGTAYTTTATTTGTAACTTAAGCATTCAAAGAATTAAAACTTATTTGTCCTATTATCTTTACTACATTTGCAAATGCACTCAGCTTCTCCAAGTTCTCAATAAATCTGTGATGTCTATGCAGACATCTGCTTTACTAAAGAGACGAGCCTTCCAGCCCATTCTTTTAAAGAAACACAAAAATGTGTTCTCCCAGATTTGATCTGCAATCCTATGTACAGCACCAATTTTTATATCTTGAAGTGACTAGGTAGTGATGGAGTAGGCATCATGTTCTGTTATGYATATTTAGAAAAAGGATGTTTAGTCACTTATAATGAGGGACACATTTCAATATAATCCTAAAYTGATAAAGATGATATTAAGGATGTCCATTTTACACCAAATTTATGTTACAAATACGCTTACCTTTAACTGTGCACGTAATTTTGGTATTTCCTTCACTTTCTCTTCAAGTTCATCATTTTGATTTGTTAATTTAACAAGCTCTTCTGCCATTATTGATCGCGTTTTTTCAAGGTTTCCAATTTCCAGCTAAAGTGAACACATAAATAGGAGTAGGAAAGAATCTATCATATTTGTAAACTAAAGATCAACATATTTTGATACACTACGTAAAAGACAAAAGTCTTTCACAGACCAGCCTACAAGACAGCATCCCCTTTCTTCTCAATTCTTATCAGTGTTTTTTAGATAAGMAAGTTAAGCTTGCTCTTCCGTACACACAGCTCCAGCAGCTATCTTAGGCAGCTATCTTAATTAGTAGAACTGTCATGGAAGGGGAAGAGTGAATGCACAGCACTGCGAAGAACAGGGACCAGACAGGGACTGGGCTTTTAAGATTAAAAAAAAAAAAAAAAAAAAAAAAAAAAAAAAAAAAAAAAAACACGACACCATTAATCATTCTACTGTCAAGTCCTGAATTTAGTTACATCTGAGTGACTACAGTACCTGCAGATGTGAAATCTCTCCTTCTCTTAGTTTCAACTGTGATTGAAGGTTTTCAATTATACTTGAACCTGCTCCCATTCTTATAGCATCATAGAGATTGCTCCCACTAGTAGATATTGGTCCAAATGAGTGATCATGAGGATCATCCTGTAAACAAAAGTTAAAGAACCTTAAGATTAGACAAAAAGCAAAACAACACTGTACACTTTGAAATCTGTCCTCTCAAAGTATCACTTTATTTAAAGTTAGACTGCTATAAACTGAAGTAAGTTCCCACTCATATACACAACTAATACTTACTYTGGATGCTCATAAGCCTAACTACAGGAAAGCAGCAGAAGCAAAAGACTTTGCACAGACCACACCAGTCAATGGCACTGCCTAGGGAGTTGGGGTGTGCCCTAAACCAGGACTGCTGGTAAAAAGAAGTCAAGCTGATTTGACTCCCTCACATCTATCAGCGTAATTTCACTCTGCTAGCTTAGTCATACAAATTTAGCACTTATATTTATATTTGTCCATATTATTATGCAGTAAGCACTGTMGGTTTATGTTGTCTTACACAGATGCTCTATAATCACAGGCATCATRTAGCTTTGGAAGTCTCTGCACAGGAATTAACTAGTCTAAAATCAATATGCTCTTTRTTTTCTAACTGAAGAAACCTTCTTGAAAAGAAAGTAGCCTATYAAAAAATCCCAAAATACCTGTGAGAGGAAGGATGTCTGAAGACCTGCCATGTCAACTCCGCTTATGGAACTAGAGCGTGACATACTAGGAGTACTTGCAACAGTTTCAACTGCAAATGACTTCCGATCCTTCAAGAAAAATATAACCAATTAGAGCAACAAAGGTATCGTAGATGGTGAAGAAAAAGACAATATCCTTCACTACCACTAGGCATTGAACATAGTCTTAGAAATAACCATTCTTCCCCCTTAAATTATATGCTGGTTCATACAGTAAAGAATTACTTACACTACTGACAGCCTAGTCAGCTTACATTGAACACAGTAGATTTTTTCAGGAAACAATAATAAAGTTGTTGCAAACTATGTCAAAAGAAATCCTCTTTCAACAAACAAAGGAGATGCATACACTACATTGTATGCCTGCATGGTAGGAAGGATGTCCTAATGGAACGATGCCTCTTCTGAGGGCATGTTAATTAAAACTTTTTTTAAAAAAGCGTTACAATTTCAAATTCAAAATTTCTCGCATTTTACTGGAAGTAAAAGGCAGTCAGAGTAAAGAAAAAAAATCCCTAACACCTAGGTTAYACAGATATATCTACTGTATTGTTCCAAGCCTGTTTTATTGCTCGCAAGTGTCAGGTTCTAGGTACCTGACACCATAGCACCAATAAGATTAAACAGAAACATCAAGTTTTGGTACCTTCTCCTTTGTTGCTTCCTGCACAAAAATTGCCTTCTTTCTTTCCTGTTCGACTTTCATTTTCTCCATTTCTAACTGAGTAGTTAACAGCATCTATAGAAACAAATACAGTTTGTGAACTACGTGCCAGGCCAGGCTGCAAGACTAACATAGTTTAAATCTGAGGTGGACAATACCTTTTCTCTCCTTGCTTCTTCAAGGGTTTTTGCATACTCATCTTTGAGACCTTCTAGCTCAACCTCATATCTACATCGAGGAAAGAAAGAAAGTCATACAGCTTTCATTATTTTAGGTTCATGTACTTTTAAAATAAAGAGAGTTGCAATATGTGAAAATGATATGAAAGTAACATGCTTCAGACAATCTTGAGTATGAAATAAAGTTTGTTAAGTTTGGCAGCTATCTGCATAGCTGCCAACATTTTGAATGTTGATACTACTGCACAAAAAGTCAAGTCTTCCAACCCGAAGCCAAAACAACTTGCTGGCATTGCTTAGGTGCAATGGCATACTCCGTTTCACTACAGTTCCAAAGAAACACCATTAACCCACCTACTGTTCTCATTTTCCATTTTCTTCAGTCTGTTTCTCTCTGTTTCTAGTTGAGCCTGAAGACGAGCATTTTCTTGCCTTAAAAGACTATTCTGAGATTCAGTAGAAGACATTTGAACTTTATTAGAGAGAAGTTCTTCTGTTGCTGCCCGTTCTCTTTCTGCAGCAGCTGCCAGAAGGGCTTGAGATTCACCTAAAATCAAGTAAGGAAARATATAAACTTTACTTTTTGACCAAACATCTTTAACTTGGATCAATTATTCATTTATCAAAATGAAACTCAGGCATTCTTGTAAGCCACATGAAATGCAATTCTTTTTTTTCTGATTTGCAAAGAAAGGTTCTGTTTTCTGTTGCAAAGGACATTAAGTCTTTGTCTCTACCCTTTTTAATTGTCTTTTTATTCATTTAAAATAACAGATTGCTACAGGATCAATATGTTTCATTGACTATAAAATTACAAATAAATGATTACATTTCAACCTTTAAAAACAAGGAATCGCAGGACCAAGTTTGACAACAGAAAGTGCTGATTTATTATCCRCATCTCAGGGAGGATTCTTTTAAGCGCTGAAAGGACACACAAGCTTTACCATCTCCGCTTCATGTTTCAAAGAGAATCAGTGAATTATCTGTTCAAAATCCTTGGCAGAATACCCAAAAGTACAATGGTTTCTCCCGCACAAAAGCATTTCGGGCTCATTTCTCTTGATTGCCAGCTCTTCATTTTGGGCAAATAACTACCAGTATCTCACATCTTCAACCAAGAGTCTCACAGTTCGGTAAAAGATAAATAAATGAATAAAATCTTACCAAGTCTGTCAGAAAGATTCTTTTCCAGTTTTTCCCATGAGGAGGTTTGTGCTCCCAGCGTTGCTTGCAAATTTTCTATCTGCCGGAGAAGTGGTCGTGTAGCAGATGTGACACTTTGACTCAGTTCTTGGTTCCGACTCTCTTCTTCTTGAAGTCTCTGAAATCACAAATGAAATATGATTTAACCTTACAACCATATGACAGATTAATATGYTACCACAGAATTTAGCAATTTGCTTTATATTTTAAAAACGTGTTTGTTCCAACTAGTAGTGAAGTACAAAATTCCCAAATGTAAGTATAACATTTTTACATATATCATAGAAGAACAGATGAAAACGCTACATTTTGGAAGAAGGAGGGCAGTTTATCTGATATCACTGCTGAGTGCTGGCRAAGTTTTCCAGATTAAGCAAATTTAATACTGGCTTTGCAAGTTACCAGCTCATAACTAGCCGTTCACTAAAGATGAAAATAAGATTACTGTCCCTAAACTAAGGGTCTTCTCTTGGTGTTTTTTCCTCCCAAAACAACATTCAAGTATTATCTTCTTCATTTCCAACCACAGACAAACTCTTCTGTGCTCTAACATGTTTTTTATTCAGTTTGCTTTTCCTTCTGGACACCAGGTGATGCATTTTGCCAAAGGTATAGACCTTTGATATAGGAGTCTTTGGACTCCTATATCAAAAAAGACCAAAAGCTAAAGAAACATTCAAACCAAAGAACATTCAAATCAAAGAAATTTTAAAGTATTATCAGAATAGTAATGGCTTCATTTTCTCTCATGATAGGAGGACAGCAGTAAGTTTAAAAAGCATCATGAACTTTCTGATTTTAAATACTAATATATATATTTTAATACACACACAAACCATCAACCACAAAAAACACCAAAACTTAATCTGTCTGATTATTAAATTCAAGCTCRCATTTTATAACATTTTTTGACATTCTCCTTGCAGTTATGAGCTGGTATTATTTGCTACAGTACCTGTTGCAGTTCACTGATTTCCTGGCGTAAGTAGTCCTCTCTTCTTGCTGCCTGCTGTTCTGCACGCTGCAGCGCTAGTCTCAGGTCTGCCACCTAAGACAGATAGGCTGATACTTATCTCTTGCCAAAAATTATAGTACCATAAACAGATGGTCCATTTCAAGAGATGTATAACATTTTTAAACTCCATTAGACAGGAGAGACTTCTTAAAAGTTAAAGGTTTGAGTTTTGCAAACACACCATAATCTATCCATCACTGGACAACACTTTCCAAGTTTGTTTGCACATTCATCTGTTCAAACAGAAAGCTTTATTCACCACACTTAAGACCCACCTGAATTGCCAAAGCTTCTTGTTGCTGCCGTGCCTCATCCTGGGCCTTCTCCAAAGCTAAACCAAGTTCTTCCTTTGCCTTCATTTCCCGACTTAGGGCTGCTTCTTGTGCCTCACTGTCTTTTGTGGCATTAGCTTTATGAAGATCTGCAAGTTCTCTAAGAAGAAAAAAAAAATGCAATGCTTCTTACAGATTATACAGTATTAATAACAACTTTGGGACATCTTGCAAGTCCTGCACAAGGAACAGAGACAATAGCTGAAAGCACACTTGAAGACAAGCAGGCAGATATCTTCTTACTTGTAAGCACTGTCAAGTGCTGCCTGGACACTTCTGTTCCTTTCTTCAAGATCTTCCACCTCTGCTTGGAGCTTAGTAAGATCTTTTTCTTGTCGCTCTACAACACTGTTCAGTTGTTTAATGCTCTCTCGATGCTGCTTCTCAAGATCTTCCTTGCCATCAAGTACCTATTGGAGTACAAAACAAATGTGTCAAACTAACCACAGTACATGGGGTAGTCCACAGCACATGGGTAGTCCACACCAGCTGAGCAAGGACAATGCCAACTGTGATGGTTGATTCAGGATGACAATACACCAAAATGATTAAATTGATTTTAAGCTTTCCCAAAACAGAGAGGTTTTGCTCCTCAACTTCCCTGAAGAAGGAACAACATCTGATTCACATACTTACTCATGCAGATGTTGCTCCTTGTGAGATACTTATTCAATTTACTAAGCCAGCAAAAAATCTGCCGAAAATTTGCTGGGATGGATTCTACAGTATTGAGTTAGTGAACTGAATTTGGTGAGCCCATTACCTAACACAAGTACAAGTGAATACCAGTGTAAGTGCAAACAAGCAGCAGGAATAAGATGGGCCTGCAGTTCTGGAAGGAGGAAGCTGTTAGTTTGGCTCAGTCAGCACTAGGTAACCTAAAAAAGTCTGAATTGCTTTGAAATTGCTCTCTGGGAAAAGGCAACTGGAAATCATACTCCAAAATTCTAAGTCTCCAAACAACAAAAAGAAGTTAAACTACCTAAAACCTCCCAGAAAACTGCCCTGCAACTACTCTACAAAGTTTTTTAAGAAACAATTTCTCACCTGTTTTAAATGCTGCAATTCCTCTTCCAGTTCCTTAATCTTTTTRTTCTGTTTTGTGTTAGTATTTTCTCTCTCTTTCTCCTTTGCTCTTAGTTTCTTAATAATGTTGGAATTGTGCAGCTGCTGTTTAGAAAGCTTCTCTCCTATAAAGAAAACGCACATAAAGTTAGTGTATCCTGGCTATCACTGTACAATCCAGCTAGCCTTGAAATGACCTCACTGCATTAACTTCCACTACTACAGAGTAAGCCATGAAAGGCTTTGAAAGTAGAAAAACTTGGCTCACCATAACATCAGAAAAAGCTTGCTTTGTCAATTCATTTAGTAACYGTATTTTACTTCCAAAGTTAAACAGCAGTAAAGGAGATATTGTAGAAGTGACCTGAACAGTACTCTTGTCAAATTTCATCTAAATGGTGCGTGGATAACTGCATTGTATCCTGGTTTTAATTTATGACAGCATTAATAAACGTTGCTGAAAATACATCTCCAGCCATCTACATTTGACTATTCTTTCCTGACAGTCTTTGCTGTTAAATAAATGGTTTAGAAATTTAGATATTATCTGTCTCAATTAATGTATTTTTCCCCACATAAAGGCAGCTCATATGTGAAATACTTTTCAACAAACTTATTCTACAAACTTTTTTCTATTAAAATCTTTAATTCCCACCTTCTTCCATTAATCCTTTGATTTGCTCATCTTTTTCTTTCAGTAATTCAGCGGTTTCATTACAATTAAGTCTAGTAGCCAATTCTTCTTTAACATTCTTTACTTCCTGAATAACAGAACAAAATATTTGTGACTATTTTTTTCATACAATCACACACAAAAAACCTATGTGTATATATATATATAAGTACATATACCTTTTCATTTGTCCTCCTGCCTATAAAAGCTGTTATTAGAATCTGAGAACAATTTAACTGCACAAACTTTGCTTTTGCTCAGTGTTTTGTTCATTCCAAACAACTCCCGCCCCTCAGCACTTAGCTCTCCTACCAGTTAATCATCCAAAGAAATCATTCCATTCTTTGCCACTTCACTACATCCTGCAGCCTTTTCTGTCCCTCAAGCCAAAACAAATACATATGTAGACATAGAGTAAATGACACTAGAGGATTTTTTTTCCCTTGAAGAGACTGCCTGCCTTTAACTTGAATAATRTCCTCACTCAATTCATGACGTGGCAGAAGAATACACATCAACACAAGGAAGTAATAAGGAGCCCGGGAAGCCAGATCAGCTTATGTTAGTTTACAGTTCCTTGAAATAGCACCTGCCAGTCTCGTGCCTTCTCCTAGCTTAGTTTACATGGGTTCCCCCAAGAAATTTCACTTTCATCTGACATGAACATTAGTGGCACTGAAGAATCTGATTACCTTTTTAGCTGCATCCCTTTCTTTGCATGCAAGCTGGAGCTTCTTTTCAGCATCTGCTATTCGCTGAGCAAATTCCTCTTTAAGGGACGAAATGCTATTGCTCTCTTCTTTCATTCTAAGGATTTCACTAATGCAAAATTAACATTTCAGTACAGCTTCATAGTTATCTGGCATTTCAAATAGCTTGTAAAAGATAGATGRTCTTAAATGTTTTTAAAATAAATGTATATTTTTATATGCTTTCATCACTAATTCTAAACATTAGAGGTCCATATTCAAAGAATCAAAGCTCTTCATTATTTCAACAATTTACCTGTAARAACAATGAAATGCTAAATCTACCAAAAAATATTCTACCCATTATTCAAGTTCTTTCAAATTAACCTACATCATATCAAGGACAATTTTTTTTTTTTTTTCCTCCTACAAACAGCCCTTCTGCTATACTTTCAGAGCCTACTACAATTAAAATATAAAGACCTGCTTGACAGAAAATTGCTTTGTAAACTGAGTTCGTCTGCTTCTATCAGAGAACAGATTCCTTTAAGAGACCATTTCCAGTGTTATAACAAAGACTGCACCTCTGTTTCTCACTCTTGCTGCTTACTTACAGAAATCTCTCATCAACCTTCCAAAGAGAGATTCAGGATCCAAGAAATAATACCATTAAAAAAAAAGAAACCATGGTACATACAACCTTCATTTCTGTTTTTCCCAAAGAGCAAGCACCCTTGGAAATCTTCGTTCTGGTTRCAAGAAGGACTTGTGTTTCCGTACTTTCTACTGTTTCTGTTACACTAGAGTTACAGTCACACCCAATATATTTTTATTTCATACTTACTCTTTAAGGTTATCATAAGCTTCCTCCAGGCGTGCCTTTTCTTTACTAGTATTCAATAACTGTGTTTCTCTCTTCTCTAGTTTCTCATTCAACGAATCAATCACCTGGAGGTTTTGGACAGGACAATCAAATCWCAAGAGAGGAAGACTTTTCCTCCCCCCTCTCCCCCCACAATTTTCTCCCCAAACCATTTCAGAGCTGAAGTTCTTCATTTTATTAATGAATTAAAATCAGTGAAGCACACTATGTTYCTACTATAACAATTTAAAAGCAACCAATATTCAATCATAAGAGTTTTAAWCATTGTCTATAAAATGATAATTAGCATTAACCATTAAGACTCTCATTGGGTTCTTCATACTACTTTACAGAGTCAAATTATAGTTAATATTGCAGAAGGTTTCTTCTGTGACATGTTAGCAGGAAGCAGCAGATCACCAGCTAAAGCTGGTGACTTTCCGGCATGGTCAAGACAACTTACATCAGTCAACATCACCTCTTCATACCAAATTTTGAGGAGCATACAGAAATAAAGCAAACATATAAATACACACGTTGAACATTCTGTAAATAYGCAGCTCGATAAGGGCCACTGCTGTAGTCTATTATCACTATTTCCAGTGTTAAAAAAGTCTATTCATAATAGTCCATTACCATGTAGGTCCTAAGRATTTACACTGACATTCTGTACAATTTAAACAAAAATAATTTCCTTAAAACACAAATTAAATTGGGGATTTTAGCAATTCTCACAGCAATTGCTTTCTTCTGCTACTATAAGTAACAGCACCACTACTACAAATATTCCTGCAGGGCAGGGCCAACCTTAGGGCCCAGCTATATCACATATTATACAAACACTTTATGAGCAAAATAAAAACAGTAGAACATGTCACAGCAGCTCAGTTTTCAAGGAGGATAGGAAAGTGATGGAAAAAAGGAAGTTCACAGTGGTGGAATTGGGGGGAATTGAAACAGATTGCCATCTMTTTGAATGAATCATCTCTATGCTTCTCACTGTGCTTCCCCACTTCATTAAAAARCATGGCATATCTCTTTCAAAGGAAACTTTCTGCTACTAAAAAGCATTAAATCACCTAGAAAAAAGGACTTGTTTGCATTAAGCTAATACTGCTCTTCATATGTGCTCTCCAACGAGCACAATAACCATTTTAGCATGACTAAAAAAATTATTTCAAAATATGACTACTAAAATTCTAGCTATTACAAGGCTTGTAGTATATGCAAATACACAAGAGCAGAAAATATTTGCAAGAACTTACAAAACACAGTCAAACTTTGATAGTTTATAAGCCTGTGGTGGGGAGGGGRAGGAAAAGGCCAAGTGTTCTTCCATTGTAGAACACTAAAGACTTTATTCTTATTTTAAACAAAGTAAGTTAATTCAGCATCAATTTATGCAAACAAGGTGAAGCAAATCCCTAATGAGCTAATCCCTATGTAATTATATAAAATGTTTTACTGTTACCTTTTTAAGTTGTTGCTTTTCAGAGTCATCTTCTTCAAGCAGGTTTTCCACAACATCCTGCTGCAGCACAGYGTCCTCTTGCACAGCCTGTTCTTCATCAGCTTGCACAGTAGCAATCAAAACATCTGGCTGCTCAGAATTAACAGGAGTTGCACTTCTTCCACTTTCTTCCATCTCAGCTTCTTCAGCATGTAAAACAGGAGTGTCATTCAATTCTTCACAGTTACTTTTTTCAGGATCAACCATGTCTGTCTTTGGTGCAGGAGGAATGACAGTGACAGATACTGAAGCACAAGCCTTGCCTGATAATTCATCATCTGAATTTATTTCACTTACACTTCTGCTATCTAAAGATTGTACACTAAATGAATCAATTCTTTCAAAAGCATCAGAGGAGCTGCAGCTTTCAGTCAGTTTTTGAAAGTCATCTAAACGATTATAATCAGCACAGGCAGATGTAGATAAAAGCTGAAATGATGTCTGCATTAGATGAAGACTGGATTTCGAATCTGCAGTTTCTTGTCTTGAACTTGCTGAGCTCTCACTTATTACACTTTCATGGTCCAGAACTTCAATATCACTAGTTGTGGATGTCCCTGAGGAGAAGGTGCTGATCGGAGGGGAAGGTGTATTGCTTTGCCTGTCCTCAGTTTTTTGCTCCTTAGTTTCCAAGCCCATGTCTTTTGTACCTGTATTAAGGGATTGTGAAGTGCTATCCAGTGCACCTCCTGCTCCATGACTTCCAACACTGGATTTTTCATTAACAGCCTTTTCAGGCACTTTCAAATTTAGAGTAGACACATTTTTATCGGTAACTTCATTTGTGCTTGCTTCATGTTGGGCATTAGACTTAAGCACAGGACTTTYTTCTAATTTCTCCTCAGGAATCTCAAAGTTTTTCAAGTCCACTAGGCCAGCTACAGAGGAATCTTTCACGTCCCCCTCTGTTGTCACCGGTGCTTCCAGCTGACTGGTGTGTAGAGACTCCTTTAAAGTGCTTTTCACTTCCTCTTTGGGTCGCTGGGATTTGGCTGGAGGTTTGGACACCACTGGATTTTTCTGTATACTCTGAACATCAGTTGGAGAGAGAAAGGCACTGAAGAAGTTTTCAGATTCATCTACTACCGTTCTTCTTACTGGCTTGGTGATTGCTGTCGGAGATACCGTCTGAGTCTGTGGCTCTGTATTGGAATTTAAACCCCAGGAAGACRTATCCCATCCTCCACTTATAAGAGAATTTGTTCCTAAAACAAGAGACATGCCAAAAACACTTAAAATGTGTTATTTTCAGTATTTGTTTTTTTCAGATGCAGCATTTCAGAAGAAAAGTGTTCAATACCATGCAACTTAAATACATATCGCCATAAACAAGCCCTGTATCTGTTTTGTAACTATTTTCTTACAATGCATTGAATGATTTTTAGACAAAGCGAAACAAGTTTCGTAAGACACATGAAATAGTTCAGACATAACAYGGACAGAAACAACTCCAGAAAGTTGGAGTATCTGAATGAAAACAATTTTCTTCCTATTAAACACTAACTCATGCAGAGGCAGAAAGGAACCATAAACAAATTACACCAGAAATTCCAAGACTGATGATTGCAGAAAGAAGATGGACAGAAGTTCACAGGAAGGTGAAATGAGCCAATTTKGAAAGCCAGTTCTGACAAGAAACCTATTCAGACACAAGAAAAGGAAACACATTTCCTTTGTGAAGGGAACAAGGGAGGGTGACCGTGGAGAGGAAATGTGAGGTTGGAAGGGACCTCTAGAGATCATCTAGTTCAACCTCCCCTGTTCAAGCACGGACAATTTAGAAACAAAAATTCTAAACATTAGAAAGGGAGAAAAATTTAAAAGTTATGTAATAGTACTGAACACAGGGACGAGGAAAGGGACAAGCCCTTAAACACAACTACTGATCACAAGGAAAAAAAAAATCTTTAAATATTTGCAAAATTTACACCATACCAAGGCCCTTAAAACTTCTGACAATTTTCCAATATTTGCAAAATTTACACCATACCAAGGCCCTTAAAACTTCTGACAATTTTCCAAATGCCAACGGCAGCATTATTTTCCACAGGCCATAGAAGAAACAGTTACACTGCTGTTCATGTTTTTCTTCAAACAGCAACAGGGTAAAAATTGACAATTTGTGTTTTTATTTGCTGTCACGTCTGGGCTGCAGCACCAAAACTAAGAGGATAATGTCACTCCTCCCCTGTGGGAAGCTCTGAAGCCATCCTAAAGCTCTGTTAACAATTAGTTACTGTTATATATTTCTTGCAAGTTTTCCAAGACATGTCAGCAGCACAAGAATTACAGCATCAATTTCACTCACATCCCAAATACTGTAGCCACAGAGTAAGAAAGATTAATCAGTCTGGTATTCAAAAACAACTGCCAACTTGATTTTGGCAAACAAAACTGTTTCAGGCTACTTAAAAACAAGCTTATTTTATGTAGTATCTGTTTTCTCATATTAACACATGAATACAAAAWCCCCAAGTTATAATACTTGAACTATCATCTAAGAAAATATGAATACCTATCAGACTCAAAAACTTAAAACAACCTAAGTACTATATCCAATTTATTATGAAYTTCTCCATGATTTAATAGCTTAGAGAAAGCTCACTTGAGAAAACTGTAATATCGGAAAATATTTTGGTTTCTTTTAAAGTAAATACATTTCCACCTGAAAAACAGAAGCAGYCTGGTCTTTGCCACTTTATTACGAATTCTACTGCAAGCACTCAGAGATACAAGCAAAACCTAAAMGTGGTTTGGACGATTTTACAATGTTAACAAACTAAGGCCTACATATCTTCCTATAAGAGAATCCTGTAATTTAACAAAATGACAGACTATACACGTGACTGAAGCCCCCTGGCTCCCATTCAGTAACAAAGACCTGCAACTAAGCCCACACTTTTGCTAAGGAACTGACCTAGAAAACACTTTCCCTTGATTCAGGACTTGATTTTTGAGCCTCTGCTGTGACTCCGTCTGAAATCCTCCTCCTACTGCTAGTACACGAAATTCTCTTGCCACTAAGGCCTCTGACACCAGGTGACTCTATTTCTCTGCCTTTTCCTTGTCCAATGCTACCTTGAATGCAGTTATTAATAACAGGAAAGCTTCTATTAGATTGCAGGGGGCTTTTTTTTGCTAGGTGATCCCTAAGCAGCGATTCCRCCTTAACCTCTCCCCCAAGCTTCACACTGAAAAACTGCCCATAGGGAGGAGACGTTTTCCCCGTTTGGATCCTCCTTTTAGGCCACAGGTCAACACAAGAAGCGGAAGCCTCAGGCTCAACCCACCGGCAGCAAAAGGCTCCTCTGGGTGTTTCCCCTCCCCACATATTTTTTTTTTTCCTCTCCGTTTTAATTAATTGGACTCCCTTTTTTCCYCATGCCCAAGGCCGCTCCGAGGGGGGATAATCACCCACCCCCTCCCCAAGCCCCACACGCAGAGGGCGGGAAGAGGGAGGGCAGGGAAGGCCGCGCCCGCTCCCACCGTCGCCATAGTCGGGGATGACGGCGTCGGCCCAGGGCCCCTCCTCGGCCTGGATGTCGAGCACCCTGTCGATGGACTTCTGCGCCTGCGACAGCGCCTGCTTCGCGAAGCTCGACAGCTGCGACGCGTTGAACCAGCTCATGGCCGCCCGCAGGCCTCGGCTCCCGCGGAGCGCGGCCCGGCGCCCGCGCGCACGCGCCACGCTCCACGTCGCACACGGCGCGGCGCGCAGCCGCGGGGCCGCCCCTTCCGGTCACGCGGAGAGCTCTCGCCTCGGTAGGCGTCATGGCGCGGCGCCGCTTCCGCCTCGGTAGGCGTCATGGCGCGGCGCCGTTTCCGCCTCGGTAGGCGTCATGGCGGGGCGCCGTTTCCGCCTCGGTAGGCGTCATGGCCCCTAGGCTCCCGCCCCGTTGGGTGACATTAGATATTGAAATGACAACTTCGGTTCCTGTTTTTTTAATGCTCGAGTTGGCGGTTACAAAAGTACTAACGCAAATACACAAGCATGGTCTCTACTTGAGCCCTCAATAACGTAAAAATCATCATTTAAATCCCCCCCAAAAAAGATTGCAGTATTTTCAACCCTCTTACACACTCGCGAATGCCCACTGATATGCCACAAACTAAGCTATTTTTAAGATTTTTTTAATTATTATTATCATTTATTAATAAATAGCTTAACAGCACCAATGATACTTGAACATAATCTGCAGTTCTATGCACAGCCGTCATTCATGGTTCGCAAATATACATGACTGGGTTTTCATGTACAGTAGTTTTGTCCTTTTTTTTTTTTATTTTTCTGTATTTTCTTGTAAACAAAGCAATCTCTGTTATTTAACATATTTTTGAAGATTAATCAAATAAAAGGAAACAATGCTTCATCTACTGACCCTCTGGTTTTAAGGTGACTTGGTGAATGTACAGGAGTGCTAAAAATTTAAATTCAGATCACTGTGGTTCCTTTTAAAGGGTATCTCTTCGCATGCATGCGCGTCTCCAAATTCAACAAGAAAACCAGTCTTCTGGCCACCTTTAAAATTTCCATGTGTGTGCATTAACATTTTGACAACAAAAACTGGAAAAGAGTGTATTCCTATACATCAGAGTTCTGTACATTAGTAAGCATTTATACAAATATAATCCACCAAATATTGGCTTCTACATACAATTCTGAAATATGGTGATTCATCTGGATTATCTAACCTTCAACAACGCTAGTACTAAAATGAACATTTCAGGTTACTTTAACACCCACAGTGTGCATTTGTTTTACAAGGTGGATAAAGATTTCTCTGTATAAGTGGCATCCTTATGCRTGAATTAAGTAGTAAAGTGAAGTTTGAACAGCATGGTTTGCGGTGTCGTAACATCAGCAACTGCAAGTTCCTGGCCATCCACAAGCCCCAATTCTGAAAGAGAARGAAAAGTTCAACTACAGCAACTCGTGATTTAAAAAAAAAAAAGTCAAGAATGCCATGCCATCCCCACAAGCTATCACCAGGAAGAAACAAAGCAGTATGCATATGTTTAGCTAGGGATGTACTGCTTGTTTTTTTTTTTTCATTTATACACAGTTTTATTCTTCTATGAGGGCAAAATAAAGATAAATACGACATGAAGAGGCAAAAACTGAAAAACAGTATCTTCCTGTTTAAGAGGAGTATGTTGAAAACGTGCATGTGACAACTGGATGATACCTTTCAGCGTCTTGGAAAGATTCGGCCTTGTTCGTTCTTCAATGGAGGCTACAGTCTAGAGGAAAACGAAAATAAAATGTTCCATCTCAAATCAAGTCAAAAAAAGTTTTGTTTGTTTGCTTTTTTAATAAGAATATTAAACAAAATTAAGTGTAGAGTACCTGTAAGTATAGTGTTTTATTTCCCCCATACATGGTTGCTGTGATTGCTGGAGACTTCATTTGCCTATGTTTAAAACATATTCCAAAAAAAAATTAGATAAAAGTGGTTTATTAACATCTTTTTTGAGAAAAACTAATTAAAATCATCAAGTAAATCAGAAGAGTTGCACACTTACAATGAAGCATTATTTGTCAAGTAATCCAAGATCTCCTGCAATTTAGCTGATGGGGAAATTTCTATGTTTTGAGGAAGTTGGCTGCAGGCTGGACAGTTCTCCTAYAAAAAGCAGCACAGTACTGAAGTTTATGTGATAGTTGCAAGGGTTGTTTTATTTTCTTTTGTTTTTAAAAAACATTTCTGCAGAAGTGTTAAAACTGCTGCAAAAATTTTATGGACAATTGCAGTTCCCAGTGATGCCGGTCATTCTTTGACTGACTGGCTACCAGTATCAGCTATGTGTTTATGAAATACAAATTCCATGTGAACTGAAGTTAGGAGTACTGCAAAACTGGAATCACTGTCATCACAACCTCTTTTTTAGAAGTTTTCCTTCTGTGTTTTACTGTGTAAAATTCATTTCCTTATTTTACAAGGTAAATCTTGTATATTGAGCACTCTTTTCCTCCACAGCTAGCCCAAGAAAAGCAATGGTGTTTAAATACCAGTGTTCTACAAGCAGTCAGTCAGCACTAGCTGGTCTGAGAAACCTCCGCATAYCAACAGCTGCTTTCTAAATACAAGAAACTTTGGCTCAACACTCAAAATATGACATATGCCCTTAAGCATACTATGTAATTTTGTGGGGAGGGGGAACCCAGCAGAAAAACAGGTTGTAGCACAGTCTTCAGGACATCAAAAGCTTTCATTAAAAAAGGTATCTTGTTCTTGAGGTTAATCTTTTCCAGTCCTGCTACTTCACCTGGATAGGTCTCCACTCTCACCAGTGTTAGACCTCATCCACACAAGGTGAAAGCAACACTGGCAACACTGTAGTTTCTCCTTTTAAAATTTAAGAAATATTTAGACCTAGTGCCAGAGAGGTTCGATTCTGGGTTTCAGAAATTCATTGAAACTGCAATAAGCATCAAGGAAAACAACTTTGTGAGACTTTAATAGTACCAACCTTTCTTTCAGCTTCAAATGTGTATGTGTATAATCCATCTACATCATTGAACACCAAGTAGTTGTTAAGAGGAATGTATGCACTGTAAAGATAAATACATTAGTGTTAATACAACTCATTGTGCTGGAAATTATGTGTTTTATTAATAAGAAATGAAATACCTTGTGGCTATTTTAAAAACTTCTGTGGCGCAGACAGCTGGAAAGAGCAAAACAAAAACAAAATAAAAAAAAATCCACAATTTCATTGCTTTTCTGTGTCAGAACATATAGATATTAGTACACAAGTTCATATCAAAGAAGTAAAAGCATTTATAACACAGCAGTTTGAAAGAGAAAAATAAACAACTATCTATTACTATGAATCAATATAAAAGACTCAGCGCAAATCTGAGACTGTGTTAACCATACATATCGCATTTTCCACTTGGTATTATTTCAGTCTCAAATGCATTTGCTCACTGACACAGTCACATATAAGCTTAAAATTCATGCAGTCACAATCACGTGCAGTTTCTCCATGGAAGATAGAAATGAGACAGTAGGAATAAATTAGACTCACTTAAAATGTACTACTTGCCCCCACAAGGTCTTCAGTCCCAACTATTGCCTTATGAAAATTTAAAATCTACATTCCAGAGGTGACATGGTTAGAAATTTCATTCTGGTTCTTTTAGCATACCTGCAATTACTGCATTCGTAGAAGCTACTGCTGGAATAATTCGTTTAACAACGCCTGTAGAAACAAAACAAATAAGTTCATCTTTTCCAGGAACTATGCTGTGAGATGACTTTCAGCCAGAATAATTACAGAAGTGTGGACCCCAAGCTACTTAAAACACTCTCCTAGAACTTTACTAATTACAAAATAAAATGTCATGCTTCTCAAGAACTTTGGAAAAGGTAGAACATGTGGAGGGGAAAAAAGCTATCATGCAAATAGAATTAGTGATCTACTTGATTAGAGTTTAAAATGCTGATTAAGTACGTGGCAGCACTGTGCACTTGCACATGAACAGAAGCACACATAGTCATAAAAATCAGACACTATAGTCTTCACCAGCCTAATTTTTTTTCTTGTTTTGTATTCTTGTTTCTTGTTTAGTATGAACTCTTTGAGATAGTRTAAAGCAAACTGTGGAGCTGCTCCAGGTTAAAACTAAGAGAAGAACATGCAGTTTTGTCCTACATAAGTTCCCCAGCCTGATTCATCAAGAATGCCTAAACATCTGACACATTGTGAAATACTTCTTGCTGGTAGAGGGAAAAAAGCTACTTGTTTCTCTTTTAAGTTGTCTAGGGAGAAAGCATTACTTCTTTCCCAGCAGAGCTGCCAGTTTAGTCATAATAAGTACAAAGAATGCCAATTCAGCCTAATTGCAAAAATTGCTACAAACTTAGTGAAATGCTGATCCCCTTACCTTGGGTGAGTCTATATGTAACACCTTTAATATTAAATTGCGATGCTCTTTCTAAAGACTTCTGGTAAATCCACTGTATGTGTTCAGGGTCATCCCCATCCAAAGGAACATCTTCTACAGGAAAATTAATTTATAGATAAGTAACAGTTGCAGCAGCTCTTCAGAAGCACAAGTCTTTCTTTTATTTATTTTTTTTTTTGTCTAAAAATATCCCATTTGTTTTAAATATGGTAAAAATGAATACCCCATTTAACTATTAAAACTTCACATTTTTGCACTTAAAAAAAMCCACAAATATATATTTCTATAGAAATGTCGATTTCTAAATTTTTATATATAGCTTTATAGAGGGGTTATGGGTTACACTTTGGCTCAGAAAAGATACTGTGCAATGAGAGAGAGATAAATGTACAAAGAAATATATGGCTGGAAGGCCGATCTGAGGAGACAGAAGCAACTACCAACCCAGATGGCTTCAATTCTGTATGACAGCGAGTCACAAAAGTTTAATAGAAGGTAAGAAGATTGTTTGATTAAACAAAGGTGTGTATGGCTAAGTCAAAAAAATTAGAGATGATAAATGTTAATTTCCACTAAGGCAATATACTAATTACCTCCAAAAGGTTGTTCCTTTGGCCACTGCAATATCCTGACATACTCAATACAATGCTCTGGTAGTCTAGGCATAGATGCAATTGTACACATGGGAAAATTGACCTGGTGGGGGAAGAAAAGAA